GGGGCAGGGCTGGCTGGCATGTGGTGCTGGGGGATTGAACCGCAGTCCATGTGCTTTGCTAAGCTTGTTTTAAGTAGGTGCTTTAGACCACTGAGCCATCTCACCAGCCCCGAGATGTGTTCTTTTTCTCTTGCAAAAACCCAAAGCACAACATCTACTTAGTCCCTTTGTTCAAAAGTTTGGTTCAGTTCTAGTATTTTATTGTTGAATCTTCATCTAGTTATGTCTGTTAATGACAGTGGAGTATTGAGGTCCAACATAATTATTTTAGTGCTTGTTTGATTTTTATGTCCATTAACAATTGTTTTATATATTTGAGTACACAGGCATTTTGTGCATATATAGTTTATAGTTTTGTTATCTTTTCCTCTTGGATTGTTCCATTTACAAGGATTTAATGGTCTTTGTCTCTCTTAATCAGTCTTGGCTTTAAATCTACTTGGTGTATACATAGAACAGCTATCTCTATATTTTTCCAGGTTTCTGTTGCACGGAGCATTGCTTTCCATCGTTTGACTTTCAGTCTATGACTTTCTTTCTTTCTTTCTTTTTGGTGGTGCAAGTTTATTTATTTATTTACTTTTTGGCTGGCTCAGCCCACCCTAGTGCCGGGACTGGCACGACATATGGTGCCTGGGATCAAACTGTGGTCCCTGCATTTGCCTAAGCAGGCACTTTAGTCTGCTGTGTTATCTTGCCAGCCCTGTGAGTTTCTTTTTGAATTAAATGTGTTTCTTGTATGCAGAATATTGTTGGATCTTGCCTCTTGATCCATTGCCTATGGATCCATTGGTGAATTGAAACCATTAACATAGATGGTTATAACTAATATGCACTGACATCCTTATTATGTTATTTTCCTGTTTAGTTTCCTTTTTCCCCCTTCTTTTAAAGTTTGCCTTTCCTAGAGGATTCATTCAGTTATCATTTATTCATTCATTGATGGAACTTTAGTCCTTTATATCTCATTATAGAATGTCCTATAGAACATTTTGGAATGCTGGGTTGCTTTTCATGAATTTCCTAGGTATGCTTTCTTAGGGAAGTTCCTTATTTCACCATCAAGTTTGAAAGAGTTTTGCAAGGTATATCAGTCCAGTTGGAGGTTCTTTTCTTTTAGGACTTGAAATGCTTCATTCCAAGCTTTCCTTGACTTGTAGGTTTGTGTTGAGAAGTCTGATAAATTTTCTTTTATAGGTGTTTTGTTTCTTTTCTCTAACAACTTTTAATATTCTGTACTTATCTTGAATTTATGGAATCGTGACTATTATATACTTTGGTATAGGTTTTTTTTTTTTTGATCATGGCTAATTGGAGTTCTGTATGCCTCATTTATGTGTATGTCAAATTCTTTTTCCCTTACTGGGAAGTTTTCTAGTATATTTCAGTGAACAGGCTTTTTCTGTCATCTGTGTGATCTCCTGCTTTTTTCATTCATTTTTTATGGTCCTATCTTCTATCTATTTAATAATTGATGGACATTTCAGTTGTTTCCTATTGTCTATTGCTTTTAGTCAGAGTATGTTAGGCTCTCCAGAATCCATCCCTAAAAATGGATTCTACTTCAGCCACAAAGTAGAGACCATGAAACACCCACAGAGCTACCTTTGGTTAAAACTCTGATTCTGTCACACACAAATCTGTGACCGTGAAGTTATTTAACTTTCCTGAGCTTCAATTTTCACTATCTGCAAAATGGGTATGCTAGTACTATATAGCTGGTTAGATCATTCTTAAGATAAAAGGAGTTAATATTTGTAAAGTACTTCAAATAGTGTCTGGATATACCAGACATGCAGCATAGACCTGTAATCCCAGCACGCAGGAGGCTGAGACAGGAGGATCATTGTGAGTTCAAGGCCAGCTTGGGATA